CCGGCCCCTTCCCCGGCGCCGCCCGCCCCCCACCAGCCCGGCTCCGGAAGGCGGGCCCCGCCCGCGGGGTTCCGGGAGGGTACGAGGCCCCGCAGCACGCGGCGCGGCCGAGCTGCCCTGGGGCCCGGGTCCTCGGATCGGCCCAGCTGGGCCGCCACTATCCGTCCTGGGATCCCTCCAAGTCTGTACTAACCCGGGTGGCCGTGGGGACGCAGGTTCCCCGTCCCCGCACCCAACCCCAGATGCACACATTCAAGGCGCAGGCTGTTCCGCCAGGAGTTGTGCTCCCGGCGCGGGGCAGCACCCAGCTCTTCTTGCAGCCGGGAGAGCCGGGGGAAGAGACAGCCTTCTGTGGATGCTTGCCTCCCCTCTCCCCAGACAGAAACACACACACACACACACGCGCGCGCGCGCGCGCGCGGATATAAACACACCCGATTATTATTCCATTCCGGTTCTTTCCTTCCCTAGACGTCTTCTCTGTTTGTCTCCGCATCTCCTCCCCCCACCCCCGCCCCACGTCAAGTTCCCGGGGCACCCCATTCATACTTTGAAGGATAACACTTGGATATGGCACTAACAACAACAACAACAATAATAATAATAGCGACCATCTGGAGCGCTTTACTCCAAGCCAGCCAATGAGCTCTGTTTTACATGTATTATCCTATCTAATCATGAGTCCTGTGAGGAAATTGTATTCTCTCAGCTTTACATATGAGAAAACGGAGGCACAGAGGGATGAGAAACGAGTCCGCTCCTAACTGATGGAACCAGGCAGACAGGACTCCAGAGTCCATGCGCTCACAGCCCCCTGCTAAGGGCTGATACCCCTGAGCTAAATCCCACCAGTGCACTCAGGGCCTCTAGAGGCAGGTCCACAGGGCAGCCCCAGCATAAAGCCCTTGAACTCCCCAGAGAAAACTGGGAGCCCCACCCTGCCCACGTGGGCCTGAGGTGCTGGCCCACACAGAGCAGTGCCCCTGCAGGTACCCAGCAAGGCTGACAGGGCCACTGGCCAAGGAGGGAGTCAGTGGGATTTGGCCTCCATTCCTTCCATGTCCATTCAACAAATCTATTGAGCTCGTATTGTGTACTGGCTCAGGAAAGGCATGGAAGTGAACAAGAGAAGTCAAGCCCCTGCCCTTGTGAAAGTCACATTCTAGTGGGGGCAGGGGGGAGAGGGCGACGACAGACAATCAACACAGAAACAAGAACTGGTGCTGTGGGGAAAATGAAGTGGGTGGTGCGATAGGGATGCAGGTGGAGAGATGTGCAGAGCGCGTGGCCAGGAAAGGCTTCTGAGTGGGTGACATTAACGCTGACACCTGAAGCACAATCATAACAGTACTAAGTGCTAAATATGTGCCATGTTCTGAGTACTTTGCATACATTAATTCATTTGTTTAATCCTCTCAACAGCCGTGGGTAACAAGTGCTTTTATTATCACCATTTACAGATAGGAAAACTATGGCACAGAGAAATTAACCAACTTGCCGGAAGGTCCCACAGCTAGTAAGTAGCAGAGCTAAGATTCAAACCCAGGCAGTGTGGCTCCGGAGCCCTCACTCTTACCCACTACACTAAGCAGTTTGCCTCATGAAGGACAAAGAAGGAAGCAGCCATGTGACAAAGTGGGAAAAGAGCGTTTGGACAGAGGGCACCCTAGCACAAGGGCACTAAGGCAAGAGTAAGCTTGATGTATTCAAGGAATAACAAGAAAGCCTGTGTGGCTCAAGCAGAGTGGGTGAGGGGGATAGGAAATAGGGATGGTCACTTAAAGCCTTGACAGCTGTTATAAAGATAGAATTTCATTCTAAGGGCAATAGTAAGGCATTGGAGGTTTTGAGCGGGGGGCAGCTACATGCTCCAATTTATGTTTTTCAAAACACTCTGGCTGTCATGTGGAGAGCAGCCTGGGAAGAAGCAGAGAGCCCACTTAGAAGATTGTTACTTGACCCTAGATACAAGACACTGAAGACTTGGATTAGGGGGAAGTCAATGCAGATGTGGGAAAATGGTCAGATTGTAGATTTGTCCAAAGATAGAACCGGGAGGACTTGCTGATGGGGGTAGGGAGGGAGGAATCAAGGTTATTTCTATGTATTTGGCTTGAGCAAGTGCTAGATGGTGGTGCCATTGATAAACAGAGGAATACCTTGGGGAAGGGCAGGTTGGGGAGGGGTAGGGCCATTGTGGAGCCTGCTGGCTATCCACTTCCCACCGAGTGAGGGCTGAAATGCTCACATCAGAATGATATCAGATAAAAACCAATTTCTATAATCTTAAGACTGCTGTTACTTTGGAATTCCTTTTAACAGCAGTTTAGCAATACTCTGACTAATAGAGAAATTGGTACCAGGAGTGGGAAACTGCCATGTATAAAACTCCTAAATATGTGGCATTGGCTTAGCTAATAGGTGGTGAGAAATAAGGAAACAGATATTGGAGGGTGGAAAGCTGATGACCCTTGTTATCCTGGGACAATATAAACATTGCAAACATCATCTGTGATAATTTGGAAGACAGACCACATGCTACTGAGCCTATCATTCTAGAAAAACGGTTGGAAAGAACCAAAACTACTTGTATATAGGTTGGCTGCTTGATGCTGCTTTTAGCAAGATAATTAGAAGAAAGAGATTGGCTAGTTTGCAAGAAGAGATGGGCTGAATGAGAGAGAAACCAGAGAACTGGTGTCTTCAGGGTTGGAAAAGCCCACTGGTTTTGTCCAAAGGCAGGAGATCAGACTGTCCTGGCTCAGAGCACCTCGCAAAGCCTGTCTATTAAGCCAAACAAATCACCCTTGTGGCAAAATATTATGTTAAGGATGGTACTTGTTATTCAAGTCTGTTATTTCAGATGTCCTTAGGACAAACTTCATTTTAAATGAAAAAGAAAGAGATGGGTTGGGCAAGAAAGACAGACTTCATAACTCCGTCAAGAAAGGAACTTTGGGTGTAGTTACTAGTACATGGAACTGACTAGAACCAGATAGACCTGATGCCTACTAAGTTTTTGAAGGAATTCTTATCACCAACAAAATTGCAAGGCTGGACTGCAAAAGCCCACTATTGTTCAAGCCCAAGTCAGTGTCCAAGAAGGACAGACTCTCAAGACCCTGTCTGGTGGTTGTGCAGAATGATAGATGAAGAAGAATGCTCAAAAGGCAAAGCCAAGGGCCAGGGAGACATAAAAAAGGAGGTCACCCCAGAGAACCTCCTCCACTACCAGGGCTGGGAAGTCCTCATCTTTCTAGAAGGTGGACTGTGGCAGAGACTACTAGCTGTCCACCCATCCTCGTCACATTTCCCAACTTTCCTTGCAGCAGGTGGGCCATGTGTCTAAACTCTCATCTGTGGAATGTGAGCAGAAGTGGTATTAAGAAGAAATTCCCACCTTAGACTTCTGTGTTTTCCCTCCACAGAATGATAACCAGAGAGACCCTGGAATCATCATGATAAAGACAGCAGTGCCCTCAGTAGTCTGGGTCCCTAAGTGACCACATGGAGCCGAGCTATCTACCAATCTGCAATTGCCTAGTAAGTATTATTACATGAGACAGCAATCAACTGAATGTTGTTAAACTTCTCTAATTTGGCTTCCTTTATTGTTATTGACTCAGCATTGCTCTAAAAGACCATTAGACATCCAAGGGGAGATGTCAAGCAGGCCACTGGAACTCAGGCGAGAGGTGAGGGATAGAGGTGGAAGTTTTGGAGTCACCAGGATATAGATAGTGGTTAACACTGGAGGGCTGGGTGAAGGCCCACCTTCCAGACAGAGAAGGGCTGGGACAAGCCAACACTGGGAGGAGGATGAGCCAGTCAAGGACTCAGAGAAGCAGTGTCCAACAGGGTAGGAGGGAAGCCAAGCAGACGTGTCAGAATACAAGAGAAGGACATTGCTAGGAGGAGGGAGACCATCAGAATGGGAGTTCAGAGATGGGTCCTAGCCTGGCTCTACCAGAGCTTACTGTTGCTACTTGTCTGTCTACCTGCAGAGGTCTCAGCTCAAATGTCACCTCCTCAGTGAGTCCTTCCCTGGCCACCCTATTTAAGGCTGCCCTTCAGTCACTCTATCCCTTTTTTCTTTGTAGCCAATTTATCATTCTCTAAAAGGTCTTCTTCTGTGCTTGTTGACCTTTGAATTGTCCACCTTCCCCACTGGACTGTGAGTGTTGGCCACTGCCTTTTCCAGCAGTCAGGATGGAGCTGGCATGCAGAGGAGCTTGCAGGCTCCTGCAGAATGGACTGGCACCATGCCCCCCTGCTCATGCAGCTCCTGGCAAGCCGGCCAAAGGGCTACACCAGTGCCTTCAGGGCTTCCTTTCCAACACACACAGCTCCTCCAGACCCCAAACTCCCAGGCCAAGGACT